CTATACCACCGCCTTCAAAGGAAATAAAGCCTGAAATAACCACTCAAAGAAAGGTATTTGTTACAATGGGAGAAACACGAATACGTTGAAAACAATTTTATAACGATTACGTATTATATAGCTTTCAGAGACGACTGCAATTTCGACAAGCACACAACCACCATCGGCATTGTTAACGCAGCGACCCCCTATACGTTCGTCCAGTAGCATAGGCACAATAGCACCGCCTGGTTCGACTGCACCAGTATCGTCTCAGAATCACTCATCGCTGACCCAGGCCAATCTGGCGCGTATTAATAATGCCAATGCGGCTGAATGCCATCAAGGTAAAGTGGCACTGCATCAGACCCTCAAAAAAGCACCTTTAACTCAGGCTCATCATCAACCAGAGGCGGTAGCTGATGCCTCCTATTACAGCAGTGTGTTGAGTTCTTTTGGCAGTGCCAACACTACAGCAAATACGAACAATGCCTCTGCTTATGATGGCCAAAACACTTCGATGGGCCAAGGATCCTGGCAACAGCAGCAGTACTATAGATGAAAAATTAAAAAATCCCTGCAGATCACGTTAAATTCATTGCTTTCTGCTTGCTTCAAGCTCTCGTATAGAAGAAGCTTTATTACTAAATTTCTTTTTTCAAAATTGACACGCAGAGATATTAAAATTTAACTGATCGAAAAATTTATAATAAAATTAGTTAAATTTTTCACGCAGGACATATGCATCGTGTCTTCAATGGGAGACGACTATTAAAAGAGCAATAAATAGATTTTTCAATTCCCAAAAAAACGAATCGAAATTAGTTTTTAACTAAAACTTCTATTATAAATATAAACAGTTTAAATACAATAAGAATAGCAATAATGTTTAATATATAATTAAAAAAAAAAAAAGGGAAAACAAGTCGTCGTCAAGCACTTCAGCATACTAACGTTGAAAGTAGTTAGTTTTAATTTACCAATTATTTTTTTGCATTCTGTATAACTTTGTTTAGTGTTTTTTTTTCTTTTAAGTTTACTGACTATTAGAATCCATATCAATTAGTAACGCTTTATCACGAATGTCCATGTGTTCATCAGTGGCTATTATTGCATTTTGATTAGCTATTGCTTTGGGAGGTGGCGCAGGCATGGGTATAGCTATGGGACTCATTGTGCTGATCATACGCGGCTCTGTGCGAGCCGTAGTTATAGGCTGCGCGGGTATTGTGCTAGCAGATTTCGTGAGGAAAGCAGGAGTATTCACGTCACTATGACCACCACCGATGGGGTGGTCGTGGGAGTGGCCATGACTATGACTGTGACTTTGAAGATGCTGATGATGATGATGTTGGTGCTGTCCATGATGTTTATGCGGTGGTTGGTGATGTTGACCGGCTACTGTCGGAAATGACTTTGGCAATTGATTATGTCGGGAGTTTTCGGTAGATTTTAAACGTTCACTTAGGGCTTTCAAAGCAATTTGCCTAAAAAGTTTAAAACTTAATTGAAAAACATATCAAACTTTTTTACTAGCTTTACATACCTTCGTCTTTCTATGTCGTGAGGATCTACTCCTGGCATTGAAACAGAAATTGACATTAAGCAGGCTGCTGAAGATATACGAGGAGGAGCTGGAGGTTTTACTATACTCATTTTTAAACAACACATGTAAATCGGATTCACTAGAATACTGATAACAGGTTGTGTTACACTGGGAAAAAAACTGGCGAATGTAAAGCTATCAGAGCTATCGCCTCGACCGTTAGGATGATGCTGATAAAAGCGTAAGTATACCCATGAAACAAGCAGACCCGATGCAAACATCGCTGGGTAAGTGCCATCCAACAGTTTTATAACCCAAAATACAATAGACAATATAAGGACAGTTAACGGAACGTTTCTATACAATACGAAATGTAGATAATAGAAATATTTTCATATAAGCAATCAAAATTTTTGTAATTCAATGTGACTTGCCTATTTGTTAACTTGCCATAACGTGTCTTGAAAATTAAATGATCCGGCATAATTTGACGTACTGCTACACATATCCCTGCCACGTAGCCAGCGAGGCCGTGTATATGTACATCGAATAAGATTAATGGGTCTTTAGTAATCATATAATTAAATAAATAATACATTGTCGTCAATATAGACACACCGATATTGCTTAACGCAAAAAATTTAAACATTTCCATTTGACCCCACAGAGGTTCTATCATTTTACCGCACAAGCCGACAGTTATCACATCGACCAATACTTCCCACCAATGCAATTCCATAAAACAAAATGTAAAGGCAGTCCAAACCCAAAATTCTGTGTTGGGTAATATATAACCAGGCGTTACTGTTAAATATAAAACTGCTGTCTCGCTGAATGATAGTAAATAGCCGACAGCCGTGACTAAGCAGATCAATGTGATTACCGGTGAGGTATTACGTAGTAGAGCTGAAAATTGTTGCTTCAAGTAGGGCATATTCCTGTTTAGGATATGAGTTGTAGCCGACATCGTAATTCTCTGACCTCAGTTGGGACTTAGTAAAACTCAAACTTTCGAGATTGTTATGTTGCCAGGTATCCGATCCACTGAAGTGAGTTATTGTATCCATGCGCAAATTGTCATCAGATCACTGTAGAATCCTCCAATTGGAGATGTCAACACTTTTCTTGTGGCTCCAAGTTTTGATGTCAATAATACACAACAAATTTGTCAAAACGAAAGCTGCCAGCTTCTTCAAATGTTATCAAATTCAAAAATAGTGTAGAGTTACCCACGCTTGCATTAGACTTATTTTCAAGCCAAAAATACTATATTATAATTCCCCCTTCGAAAATTATAGGCCTTTAGAGCGAAAGGGAATGAGCGAACTTCGAATTTAGTTACGTTAGAGGGGATGTGAAAGAGCGAACTTCGAAACTTGTTACTTTAGAGAGGAAGTAAATGAGCGAACTTCGAATTTTGTTACTTTAGAGAGGAAGCAAATGAGCGGGCCTGAAAACCACCTCGATTCGTAGTCATACGAGAGTAGCAAGTCTGAAACCACCTCGATTCATAGTCATATGAGAGTAATTAAATGAGTGGGCCTGAAAACCACCTCGATTCGTAGTCATACGAGAGTAACGAGTTTGAAACCACCTCGATTCATAGCCATATGAGAGTAATTAAATGAGTGGGCCTGAAAACCACCTCGATTCGTAGTCATACGAGAGTAGCGAGTTTGAAACCACCTCGATTCGTAGTCATACGAGAGTAGCGAGTTTGAAACCACCTCGATTCATAATCATATGAGAGTAATTTAAATGGTGCATTGTAAACCGAGTTGGATATTATAAAGATATGCCCTTTCGTGAACTGAAAATAATTGTTTTAATTTGATACAAACCACTCCAGTGTATTTATTTACAGAGCATAACTATCTGGAATTATTTCTTTTTGATGTTTTTACCGTTCCTATGACAATTTCATTTAAAGTCAATACTTCCAAAGTGAATGATAGCAGTGAAGGCGATAGCGAAAGTCTTACATAAAGCATCACTTAAGAGGAAGATGGTATTAAAGACACGTCATCATGAAGCAATCGTTCAGGATTCCTGCAGGGGCGTGGATGTTAATAAGATATACATAAGCCGCCAAATAAAAAATGTTCGAAACAAATAGAGGATCAGTTCAAATACTTTACTTGCCGTTTAAATTACCTTACTTTTGACTCGGCATACCGTACGACTGATTTTTCGCTCAGCATTGCCAGCTATAAGCATTTAATTCCTTACAATACGTTATGATGAAAGCGTTTGTATCGAGTATTTCTACTACGCGTGCATTTGTGCTGCTTATAAACACTTCTCAAGCATTGATTTTGTAATTGGCCAATTTTGTTGAAATATAACGGACTGTACGACAAAAATTATAGGCACGCCCCAAATCCTTCTAAAATAATTTCTCTCATTGGCGCGAGTTGGTTCTGTACACCAAACTATGCATTAGTTCCATTTCAAACTAATTCCAGCCAATATTGAAATCATCTGTTTCAACTCAGCAGAAAAATTTGATAGAATTATTTGTATTTGAAATCGTCTTTGCCGAGGCTATAAAACCTGCCTATACCTTAATTGTAGTAAATTATCTTAAGGCAGTCTTATATAAAAAATGATTTTTATTTTACAATTTTTCATTATATATTAAAAGTTATTTTGTTAATTTTTTATACAAATCTAAGATTACGATTTTGTTTTTTATTATCTAAGCATTCGACAACGCTTTTATTCAATAATCATTCCCGTTATGCGTTACAAAGACCTACCTACCCTTTTCAGCGTCTAAATAAATAATTTTATCCATTTCTTAACATTATATTCAAAGTTATTACATTTACTCTATAAATAATTCATTCATGTTCCAATATGAAATAAAGGGTAGTTCAGGTTTCCGGAAAAAAGCACAAAGAACTGTCAAATAAAGTTTATATAAAATTTCTTGAAACAACATTAAACAGAAATAAGTCTTGTATGTTCGGTTTATGGGTTTTTATAGTGAGATAAAATAAATTTACAAAAAAAAAAAAAAAAATTCAAAAATAATATTAAAGCTTAGCTCTCCAAAAATGTAAACACATATCCAAATATCTCGTTAGATTGCCTAAAACGAAATGGAAAGATATTAAGTATTTCTAATTGCATAAAAATGCCCTTTCTGATGATTATCATGACGAAATTTTGGAGGGAACTATATTGCGGTTGTTTTTTTTGCTGTGTTTAGCAGTGTGTTGCTCTTTATAAGTGTTTAAACTCTCACTGGAAAACTTAAATTTTATTCTAATAAAATTTAGAAATAAACAACAACCTCGGAAAAAGACAGCAGATAACCTGAAAGATGAACTCAGTTTCAAATTATTAAGATTAATAAGGTGCGTGCTTAAACTTACTAAAGGAAACTTAGCGCACAATGGTGCACTATGGAGTTTAAAACAATAGTGTTCCCATACCGCCCATCTCGGACTGTTCTTTTACAAAAATCTCAAAGTATTGGTAGATTATAGTAACGGCTAATAGTATACCCGTGCCTGAACCAATGGCGCCTAGAAAATCGGCTAAAACCGATAGCGCACCAATGCACAAACCACCAAATGCAGCTGCTGTGGGAATATAACGGTTTAATTCATGAATCATTGAGTTCTCCCGATGACCACGCATAACCATGTGCTGCTCTTTTAATTGTTTAGCAACCTGGAAATAAAAATGCGATTATCGGTGCCGAAATAATTGCAATGAGTATGTGTCTTACATCTTTAGCTGAACTGCCGGATACGTCTATCCATGTTTTGGAAAAGAAAGCGCAAGAGCCCAGCATAAACACTATGTAAAGAATAGCATGAATAGGATCAGTCAGTATGTGACCTACGCTTTCAGGCGGCGACAAGTAATAGCAAAGACCTCCAATTGGATAGGACCGAGCAGGACCGCCACCACCAACATCTGCCCACACGCCAAGCAAGTTTATAAAGAAATTGCCTTGAAATTTGACGGCCAACATTTGCGATATAACATACAAATTAGATACGAGAGCTGATTGCAAAATGATGGGTATATTGGAGGTATAGAATAATTTGATAGGATAGCTGCTATATTGACCACGATAACGTGCAGATTTGATTGGTAAATCCACTCTGAATCCCTGAAAATATATGACTACCGCAAACACCAAAACCGTCGCTAAAAGGTTCATCAAATTAGGTAAATTTTGACGATAGAAAGCTTCTCGCAATGCTCGTACTTTATCATTCCGAGTAGCCATAAGATGGAAAAGAGCGATAACGGCACCTTCAAATTCAGTACCGCGGCCGGTGGTGACTGTCGTAGGCGAAAATGCTTTCCAAACTATGGTCTCGCAAATATTGGTTGCAATGAATAGCGAAATACCTGAACCCAAACCATAACCCTTTTGCAGCAATTCATCCAACAGCAGGACAATTAAGCCGGCCGCAAAAAGTTGAATAATAATCAGCAAACAAACACCGGCACCAATCTCCGAAGGATCACCATACATACCAGTCATTACATATACTATTGCCTGACCAATTGTAATGACCATGCCAAACAATTTTTGTGCGCCATTGAAAAGTGCTCGATCTTTAGGCGTATCGCCCACTTCAATAATTTTAGCGCCAGCCAGCAATTGCATTATCAGGCCAGACGTGACAATAGGCGATATACCCAATTCCATGAGAGTTCCTCTATTTGAAGCCAAAATGACACGGATCCAATAAAAGGGATCAGCTGAATCTGAACTCATGATGCCAAATAAAGGAATCTGACAGCAAACTAAGAATATGAAAAGCGTTATCGCCGTCCATAGTACCTTCTCTCTAAATTGAATCTGAAATAGAAAAATATATAGTCGTTTTGCGCTCAATCTTGGATTTTTATCATTTCAAATATACTGGTTAACTGAAGTCGCCTAAAGCTCGAACATTATCAAAGAAACATATAAAATCTTCTTCAAAGCCAAATTGAGAATAGCAGGATTGAGTTTATTTGTTGATCAAATATTTCAATCTCAGTTCGTAAGCCTGTCTGTAGAGAGTTATTTCGTACCTTAACTTCTATTAACGGACAATTTACTATTTAGTTTATTGACCTACATAATACTCATAAATAGCGTTAACAATGTACCAACCGCTTGCTCGCGTTTAGAAAACACGCATATACGCTCACGTTCCCCGCAATCATTATCATCAGCTACGTTGGCAAACGATATAAACAATCAAGTTTTACATTTAAAGCTACAACAAACGAACGATACGTAACGAAATACAATTCGGCTAAAATGTACACGTCGTTACCGTCGACAGCACTAACTGTCAAATGTGTCAAAATAACAAAATGTGAAAGGAGTCTCGGAATATAATTCTTATTATCATTAAACGAAATGAACTGAGAAACTATTTCCAACCTATTTAGCAAAGATAACAAGAAAAAGGAAAGATTAATCTTGGAATATAAGCGTTATAAGTCTTTTTTTTTTTAACAATTAGAAAGTGCACTTTGGCAGCATTTTTGTATGAATATATTTATATGCATACATAGTTATGGTGATATGAAAAGGGGAAAGGAAAATTACGTTTAAGCGGCTTAAAAAGTGTTTTTTCAACAACAATGATGGTTATTATTTCATCTATCAAGTTGCGATGAATAAAACTCATATCAAACTCTAACCAGTTACACAATGTAAAGAATTTTCATTAAACCGAACTTACCTTGCGCTCCGGTTTAGCAATTTCTGGCAGTATACTGCAGAATGGTTTGATCACCTCAAGGAATTTAACTAAAAATTGGTAGAAGATAAAACAGTTTGTAAATAAATTAAACACGTCATCAATATATATAACTTGAGTTATTTCTAAATTTTTCAACAAATAACGCAAATGTAAACTATATTAATAGAATACTTTCTAAATATTCTTTTAATTGCCTCAAAAATTTGTTAAGTTTTCACTTTTCATTTACTTACTTCCCATTGTTTTAGCCTTCGAATTATTCTTCTATTGTACTTTCACAGCTGTAACATTCACCGGGATAATCCAGAGTGAAAAGTAAATTTCCCTCAAAAATGTATTTGTTAATGACTTTAGAAAAACTGACTTTGAGAAATTTGTATACGGAATCTCCACCGACAGCCAAACTTGAATGAACAAGATTTCGTGTCAAAAGGGATGCCAATTATTGTCTCGGTAAACTTTAACACATTAGTAATGCAGACTTGTTATGAACAAAAATTAATTGACGTTGTAGAAGTACTGCCAAGTTAATAAAAAATTCTTCCATTGCTCTGCGATGCATTTTTTGCGCACACTTTTCTCAATGTCCCTGCAAAATTTTTATGTACAATTTCAAATATCTAGTAATGTATTCTGTTTTTTATAAATGTGAAAAAATTCCTTAAATACCCAATTCCTGTTTTTAATTTCTTTTTATAAGCAAATTATAAAAAGTCTTTTTCTTTAATGTTTTACAACTTATTCTGTGTGTCTGCACAAATACTTTACGCTCGCCAGACATGACGGATAAAATTAAAGATAGTACGTTAATTGAGGTTGTAAAGACTGGATTTAACGAATATTTAAAAGTAACTTGAAGTTTAACTTCAAAAAAGTGCCGATAGCTTTAGATGCTGTTTACGTAAAAGCAGAGATGTTAAACTATGCAACGCAATCCAATGAAAACGAGATTTGAGCTCCACAAAAACGACATTTCGCTCCCACAAAAACGACATTTGACTTCCACAAAAACGGCTATAGCCGCTGCAAAGTGCTTTAAGACGTAAAACTTATCATTTACTTCTTTGCAAGACTTTTGTCTGTATTGTCTGTACTTTATTGTCTTCCCGTAGTTTACTTTTATCTTTCATTTAAAAAACTCATATTTATAACAAATATTGGAAGCCACAAAGCAATGGTATTATTGTTTGAAAAATTGTAAATATTTGAATAACATATTTCAAATTTAAAAATTTATTGGAATAAAAATATAAACATTTTAATTTTAATAGATTGCACATATTTTTACTAAAACAAGGCTGCCAATAAAATATATATATATATATAGTATTTAGAATTTGGGGTAAATCAAATCTTCATTAACATAGTATAAAATATAAAATTTGAACTAACTCTTTTTAATTTTATATTTTACCGCTAGAGAGTGGATACGACAAATGCAAAGGCGTTGTAAAAGATTTGCCTTTGACAATTGATAGGTTTTCTCCAGCATAACTTACATAGGGGGAAATTTCACACTGATCGCCGTGCACCACTCCACCAGCCGCTTCAATGTATTTCTTATGCAATCGATGTAAATCAGCCCGTGCAGTTGAAGGACAATCCTTACCGGCGGAGTCCGAATTCTTTAAAGCACTAAATTCCTCATCGCGTGGCACTTCCATAGCGACAAAGTTCTCGGCGAATTGAAACACATCAAAAACGAATTTTTCGATTTTTATGCCATTTGGCTTTTCTGGGGTGATACGTTTGCCTGAATTATCTACGAAAGGTATTTTCTTCTTAGCCACATGCAATTTCAATTCCCGTTCGTATATGTTTCCAACTTTTCGCAAAAATTCGGCCGTAAAGAAATGATTACAAATATTACCGGCACTGAATGTTAGACGACCATCAGCATTACGAAGTTCGGCGGTCTTTGTTGATATCTCGCTATATTCGACCACTTGATATTTACCATCTACGATTGCCACAACGCCGACTGCCTCATTAGCAGCCGACTTTTCTACTACTTTGGCTGCGCAGTCTGCATTTGCCTGCATGCAATATCCTATAAAAACTGGATCTGCCACTTTAGTTAAAATATTATCAACGCTATGAGCATGCAAATAGAGTATTCCCTTTTTCTCCATATCATCCAAAATTCCCTGTTGTTTTAAAGCTCGGTAAATGCCGCCATTGCCATCTGGAGCCCTAGCGATTCGATGTTTTTGATCCAAGATAATTTTACCATCGAATTCGAAACATGGTAAAGAACCTTGTTCAAAAAATATCACATTCTCCTTCTGCAATCCCAAATAATTGTTGGCCGTAAAGTAATCGTATGTGGGTTTAATTGTGTGCTCCGAAGTCATTATATACCATGTAATTATACCCTTTTTGCCGGTTATTTCTGCTGCTAACTCCTGTAGCCGTAGTATGCGTTCAGCCTGAATGCAAAACAGCGTTTTATTGGATTGTAAACCTACATTAAACATGCCTTTGGGATTAGCAAATCCCAATCGAGTACCTACAAAGGAAAAGTTACTAAATTAATTAAAAAAATGTACACATGCTAAATATTATCATTAATGTTTATAAAATATATCTTTGGAATATTTCATTGTGATCTTGAAAGTCCAGTCGTCCATGCATGTAACGCATGTAATGGCAATTTTTTGGTTTTAATTCTCTTTGAGCTTGGAAACAAAGAACAAATAAAGTGATAAGTACTGCGAGCTTCGATCTACGTTGAAAGCAAAAGTTTTTTAACACATTTTGTAGGCATTCCTACTTCATACTATTGAGCACATTTCACAAGACCTCAACAAACATGAAGCATGAAAACTAGAAATCAGTAAATGCCTCGTTACTTAAGCTTAAAGCCAGAGTAAACGAAATGTGGAATAGGTTTGTAGAGTAACATGTTTATAAAAGAACATGGATGAAATCTGCTGCTTTGTAAGCACAGGGATACTTAAATGCTACAACGACAGCAACAACGAGAAAACGAAATGTGGAATAGGTTTGTAGAATAACATGTTTATAAAAGAGCATGAATGAAATCTGCTGCTTTGTAAGCACAGGGATACTTAAATGCTACAACGACAGCAATAAAAACATACAAAGAAGCCTACCTTGTCCTCCTGCCATTAACAGCACAGCAACATGACCCTCAGAAATTTGTTTCAGTCCTTGCTCACGGTAGGCAGAAAGTTGTTCCTCCGACGTTCGATTGATACTAATCAAACTATGATCCGGAATTGGTTGCAAGCAATCATCAAGTTTCAAAGCATTTTGGTTTAAAGATATAGTGGCACGATCAAAATACAGTTTCAATTCGTTCAAATCCAATTCTTCTATGTCATGTATAAGTTGCTCACGTTCATTTTCGTTTAATTCGCTCCAGAATTTCAATAAATGTTCCTGGCCAACCTGAACTAGACGTTCATGCAAATCTCGGTAGTCTATCATATCTACGGATAAAATTCAATTAACAATCTTAGAAACAACCGAACGCTTTAAGAAATACTGGAAGACTAAATCTATAAAAGAAAAAAATTGTGGTGATGTTATGTGGGTAGCCAGTTTGTTTATTTATAAAGCATATAAACACAACGTATGTATTTGTACGTATAACCTTTATGGCATTTAACGTGTTACTGTTGCCTTTTATTTCTGGTAAGCAGCGACTAAATTATTTATTATGTATACGTCTACAAAGCTCAAGACTGGTTTTACAGAGAAGTTTAGAGCATCAAGTAAAGTAGATTAACAAAGAAATAGAGCAGGGCGTAACTTGCGTGTCCCTGAACAATGCAAAAATGAAAGTATATTGATAGGCCCACTGTAAACGTATTCTTCTTGTATATAAAGTAAATAATAAAAACATATAATTTCACGTATACTACCACAAATTCTATATCAGCCACATATGAAAATAAGTCAATATACAGTTTATTTATCAACTCCGATGCTGGAACTATCTGTGAAATATTCATAAAAGACAAGATTTTCTTATCAGCAAGGGCGGCGATGGAAGTTTATCTTTATCTTTTGTCTTTTCCTCCCATGGAGAGTAATTTTTTGTACCGATGTTAACATAATTCTGTTTACATATGTAACGCTACAACAGCGTGCATATGTATTTTACTCAAAATACGTTTACCGTCTCAATTACTTTTAATTTTTTTTTTAGAAATTTTCACTAAATTTTCATGTTTTTCATATTTTCTTTATTTAAACAATTTTGTATTAATATTATGTGTAATTAATGAGTAAAGAAACGGCGCTACTACAAATAAAACTATAACATCAATCGATAACAGTTGTTTGTCTTCGTCGGTATAAGTTGACAACACTGGTTTTCAGACAAAATGAAATGAAGATGTCAACACATAAGTAATGGTTAACACGTCGACAGATAAGCGACTTCACCTTAATCCTCTAAGCCAAACTAGTGCAGTAAAAAATTCGGCGTAGTGAAAATATATGTTTGTATGTATATATATATATATATATATATAATATTCTTTGATCACAGATACTAAAATATAACTAATTATATTATATTATTGAATCTTGATTGGACTACCGTACATTGCTTCGTAGTCAATATTTCCTTTCAAAAATTTTTTGCTGTTGTGGCAATAGTTTGCAGAAATATTACAGTAACAATAGTGTGGAATTTGCTGAATAACTGCATTTGGCATAGGAAGCAGTCTAGTAATATAACCGGCGTGATTTTTATCCATTTTTATACTGCATAAAAACACAGAAAGTGTGCTTAAGTGCATCATGCGGGGCTATTAAGCACTCAATGCCGCTACATTTGACACTATTATTCATATAAAAACTTTTCAAAGGAAGGCGTTATATAGGAATTGACACAAAAAGAAACTCGATGCGAACTATCTTTAATAGCGTTCGCCTTTGGGCCCAAGCAGGTTGTTGTACTAAATTACTTCAAAATACTTCAAAAATTGCGGCTTTTAACTTGATCAGAAGAAAACAGGCCAGACAGACGGACCGAGAATCTTGTTGTACACGTCCTCATAAACTTAACATACCCTTGTATCGTACCTTGTGATGTAGGTTATAAAAAGTTGGTGAGGCGCGCAATAAATAATCTTATTATTGCCCTGTTGTTATCTTTTAAAAGTAGATAAAGCTCGCTAAAAGTTGCTAATGATTATAAGCACACTTCGGAAACTTAATATGGTCAGATATTCTCTATGTTTAGCGTCTGCACCTGCTTTATAAGCCTAATTAGATGAAGTCCGCAGATCTTTCGAATACAGACAATCCTACAAAAATGAAAACGCCTATACGGGTGTACCAAATATGAAAGGATGGGTATGGTCCAAAGCTGCCTCACTGGACTTGGCGGCGTCTATCATGCACTTCTAATTATTTAATGTTCGGGAACAGTCACAGTAATCATGAGTAATCTCCGAAGGGACGCAACAGCGCTCAGGCCACACACCACCGTTTCTACCGAATTATCTTGAAACGCTATCACTTCTGCTTAGTAATAAGAAAGCACATGTGGTATTAGAGTGAGTGAGCAACCTGTTCCCCGCTGACTGCATAGTTTTATTCTGTAAAGGTTTAGTGCAATCGGCACTACACACATCATAGTTACAGACATGCTCTTGCTTTTCGATTTATCATAGTTCCTCGACGTCGTCCAGTGAATACTTCTTCGGATTTTCAATGTACTAGATTTACACAGATAACAACCTAGCATACGCAAGGGAATAACTCACATTATGAGCTTACCTGCCTCGTTCAATAACTCGCAGACCTATTTGTTTAATCTTAGTATTCTTAGTAAAGAAATCTGCAAGCAGACGACTCCTGACATTCCCGATCAGTTCTCCAATTTTCTCGTCGTCGGGAGCTTAACATAGTCGGGAAACCTAGCAGGGCTGCAAATTAGTAGCTTCACTTTAGAGTAAAGTTACCTTTTCCCTTTTTTATTTCCGCTGGTTTTAGTATCCCATGATTACTGCTTCACTTCTTATATACAGACTAAAACGTTGCGCTGTATTTTTTCCCCGAGGGAAAAAATAATGACTTAAAGGAAGGAAAGGTATCCTCTCTTAATGATAAACTTCATGATAACTTCTGTTAGCATAGCTATTACGCTGGATTGCTAAGCCAATTCTATAATAATGATATCTTTAAACATGTTTCCTTGCCATGAATTTTAGATGTATAGTTCCTCTAGGGACTAATAACAATTAGACAAAAAGATTGGTTTTAATTTCTCAAAATATTATTAAGAAAATGCTCTTTTTATACCCATCACTGTAAGATGGGGGTGTACTCGTTTTGTTTTTTTTCATAATATATGTAACGTCCAAAAGGAAGCTTGACAGATTCTTGGTCAGTGTGAAAGTCTGAGTTGATTTTAGCTATGTCCGTCCGTCTATGTGTTTGCGTTAGCACTATCTTGGACGCAACCACATCGACTTCAAAATTGGTAGAAACATTGGAAGTTACCACTTGGAAAGTAGAATGCGAAAAAATAGTGGGTGGTATGCGAGATTCGGTGCCCGCCGAATGTAACTTTCTTACTTGTTTATGATTTGGGTTTTGAGGAAAATTTGTCGGTTTTCTATGAAACTAAATTCTAAAGAAGGGGAAAACTAAATACGCATTCATGGAGCGTTACCTGTACTATGCAGCTGGGGACTGGCGGCAAGATTACCAACAATTGGCAGAAATTTAGCGAAAAATCGATTAACAGGTTAGCGGATAGAAGATGTCGCGATGGATTTAGTTAAGGGGGAGTTAATTGAGTGAAGAGAGCTCGAGTTGTGATATCAAAGCGAATTAAAGCGAATTACTATTGAAAACAAAACCTACAAATCAAAATTGCGCGGCACGAACTTATTTCAAAAAGAAGTTGGATAATAGAGGAGCATTCTTAAAAGATGGATTTACGTTACAATATCAATGAATTCCTGCTGTTTCCCCGCGAGATATTATTTTTACACTTATTTCGAATAGAATTCTACAATGAAGTTTTTCTTTACAATCTTGGAATTCCGAGATTATTGGTTAATTCATCACCAGGTTATATCCAGATTTAAAACATGCAGGGGGAAATGTGATTAGTGTCACGGTTTATTCAACATTAAAGCTGACTGGGATATACAAATGTGGAGGATTAAAATCTCTGGAAATTAGTTTCACTGATGCCTGTGAAACATATTTTCGTTTACGGACGACTTTGTTAAGTGTTTCATTTTTTTCTTGAATATAGAAAGTAGAATTACATCGAAAATCTATACAATTTTCCTTTCATATATAAGGTATAATTAATCTTCACATACGTTATAACCATTAGTTACACTTCCCTTAAGTGTCGGGACAAATTTTCACTTTCCTCGCATCTACAGCACGTTATAGCGCGAGGAGAAAAATGTTTCTATATACTTTTGTATCCAATATTTGTATAATGGGAGATCCTTGACATTTTGGATGGTATAGGTAAATACTCGGCCTAGGGCACTCACATCTTAAGTTCATCTAGATGTTAGGTTAAAGTAAATAAATTAGGCTCAAGTAAATACACTTACTTTAATTCCGAAGTGTGTTTAAGAAATCAGTTTGGGATATTTTTTAATTATCTTTTCTGCCCTTGCTTGCGGTTGTTACTGTTAATAATGCAAATGCAATGATGACCGTCTTTGGCTGCTTTGGAAGAAGTTTATTGTGCACTTCCCAATTCCCTTGACTTGTAAGTAGTTAGTTAGCAGTTACTCAGAGGGTATTTGTGAGCGGATAAAATGTTGTCTTGGGCTTAGCTAAAGTATCAAGATTTTTATATAATTTGGATGCAGAATGTGAAGCGTGCCGCCAATAACTGTAGATATATGTTTAATACAAGGATTCTTAAACGACGAGCGGACATTGAGACAAGCCAGCGGACATATCTAAATGGATTTAAATGCGTATTTCCGGCTGATACCAAGAACAGATGTTCTATATTCTATTCGTCGCGTTGGTGTCAATGTATACCAAGCCATTGAATGAATTGGGCCGTTGTACATAAATACTAATGCAAACAGATTTATATAAATCTTTTCTAATTTCCTTTCGCCCATAATGCGAACACCTTAGAAACAAGAATGATTCGGATTAATTTTCTATATGCAAGTATGTTTCGTTTACAGTTACCGTACGAAATAGCTTAAGATTTACTTTACTTTCTAGTGGGTAAATAATTACTTCTACATAATTATCATACAATACAATAATGATAAGTAAGAGTATCGCACACGTGCATATATAAATGTGTGCACCTAGAAAAAATTGTCATGTGTCTCGTTTACCACGTCGATAGCAGGGCTGATCTTATCTCAAATCAAGCAGTTGTGTATACGCATGAGGAATTAAATCAGCCCTTATATATAGTAGACGACAGTTAATTTTTTGACGTTTTCCTTATATATTTTGTTAGTTACTTTTCCTTCTAAATGCACACATACAGTGAAACTTCTCTAAAATTGATTCTCTGTTGAGCGAATAATTATTGATGCGTACGATTTCGGCGGCAAATATATTTGAAGGAAAAGTGTTGGATAATTTTACAATCTTTTCACAAAATACCGAACAATAACATACGACTACATGTTCTTGAGCATAAAAGTCCGTCTGCTCTTCGAACAGAGCCTGCTTTAGGTCTGCTTGCTTTCTACTGATCAATGCTTAAGCCACGTAATGGTCGCACTTTATTTGTTCCATGCTTCTCACTCACTGCTTACACGAATGGAAAATCAATACAAATGAGGGACCAAGAGAGCTTAAAACACAAAAGGTTCTTTATGGCTGGCCACCGTATCATATATTTATAATTAATGTGTGCAAGCAAAGTTTTGGATATTACCCTGATTCATTAAAAAATGCGCCCATAATAAGCAAGATATTAAAATAATACCAAAAAAAAGTTGAAAATCTATATAAACATTTTTTCCATCAGCGATCATTTATTTGAAAACCGATTCAAAGCCTTTTAATATATGATAACTTAATCCACGATAAAAATGTAGCCATTTTCACAATTCATATCGTAGCCTTCAGCTGACTGCATATATAGCACGGTTTTGGAGATTTTTTTCCTTGGGAAAATTCAATCTTAAATTTGCTTAAAGATTAAAAGAAAACTAATCGATCTGAGAGATACGAGATATCCTTCTTACAGGCTGATGTGCAAGCTATGAGCAAATATGGATAGTAGGCAGAGTGCATTCATAGTTCCCTGGGTAAAAAAAAAAATTGAAGATTTACTTGCAGAAGCTAGTAAGTAATCGCATGTATTAAACCAAAGAAGGGACAAAGGGAATGCTGCACTTGCTTTCCGAAGGGCAAAGGAAGTAAACAGCTGGCGAATGATTTCGGCAGGGTAAGGCACCGAACTTAACGATTTATTAGGTAATAGGCGCTAACTCTCGCTGAGATGTGGATCTGGGGCCTAGAATGGAGGACCCGAAATCCGAAATTCAACTTCCAGATAGCAGCTTCCCGGAATCAAAAGTCATTCAAAATGATCATAGTTGCTATGTTCCGAAATACTCTTTTTTTCTTTTGACGTTACTCTATAGCACGGATTAAGTCAATGAGATGTTCGGCCCAAATTATTATAACAATTTTTAATGGTTTATAAGCGATAAGATTTAATGACATGAGTTTCTTGAGCAGATCGTTGTAGCCTTCGGCTGATTGCAGCGACGTCAAACAAAAGTTTCTGAAGAAAGAAAGAAAGAATCAAAGTAAGGAAAAACAAGAAAAACAACTGCAGTAGACCAAGGTTCACATTTGAAGCACTTCGCCTAATACAGTCATTCATATAATCACTTTCCAAAATGAACCATTACATGGGAAGTGGTCGAAAAGGTGCATCCGACCCAAGCCATTTTCAATACCATCCGACTCTTGGCCAAAACATGTCAGTGTACGAGAATTTTAGGGTGAACACAAAAACATATGAAGCAGTATTAGATGGACAGAGAGACAGGCAAGTTTAAATCGTTTCGTAATCGTAATTTTGAATAAAACGGTTGGTCTATCTCGAACCCGTCTGGCTAGAAAAACTTAATATACCCTTACATCACAAGAGGCGTGGGGTACAAATATGTATAATGTTAACATTGTTAGTATGGGTGAGCAATTCGTTTGCTAGGACCAAGATGTAAACTATAAGTTCTTTTTTGGGATTTTGAGCTCGAGGAAAATTGATAAAGAAGCCTTCAGCTGGTGAGTATCTTTGAAAGTGACCCCGATTGTCGTATTTTTGCGAATTTTATTGAACAGAATTATCAGGGAAGTGATTCTGTTAGATATTGGAATTTTTCAACACCACTTATTCAATATTTTGCCCCTTCATTCATTCATTCCTTATATTTTGAAAGTCCCTTAGGTAGCTTAAAAATAGTGTTTACTTTACCTAAATGCCCGGTTGAGGAATAATTATTTTGCTATTATGCGGGCCTAAATGTAAATGTGTGCGTACATCTACATGAATTTACTGCAATAATAATGGTACGGAAGGGAGAAAATTAATAAATAATAAGATTTATTCATATTTTTCGTCAAAACAAAAAAAAAAAACAAAAAAAAAGCTATCTATCTCTCTTAAAATCTGTAAAAACTCCATAACGTTTCTTTTTTGTTTTTTCAACTAATGCTTTAGATATGTTATATATAAGTATATAACAAATAAAGTTTCCTACAACGAAGTTTATATCTTTACTTGTACAATGCATTTGTGTCTTTGTTCTTGAACCAGGTGTTCAGTGGATTTACGTTGTTACATAGTTCACGTTCCATTACCCAAGAAATTTGCGCGCGCTCACAGCAATTTCATGTACACAACATAAGCAATTGCTCGTAACGTGCATAACATAACGATCAGATACATAAGGTATATATATAGATTCATAAGCGCATAAGTAAGTAAGTAATGCTCACAAAGGTATTTTCTTTTTTATTTTTCAATAATAACAATATATAACAGGAATGGTAAAGAAAAAGAAACTACAGGAACTAATTGAAAGATCTTTATATGAAGAAGAAAGAAGAAAGAAAGAAAACAACCACCACCACATAAAGATTGGTATTGAACGCATACAAGTTAAGGGTGCATTCGACTTTTGAGCGGTAAAAAAAAAAAAAATACTAACTAAACTTTGCTAAGAATCCTTAAAAAGTCAGTTAGGTTTTGGCAGTGAAACGAATAACAACATAACGTAACGAAGGAGAGGGCAGCAGTTATCCTATCTTAGCTTATCGCGCAAAATCTTTAATAGTTTCCCGTCATGCAGTTATAAATTCTTGTTATATTTGATCATCATCGTTCACGTTTTATTAAAAAAATTTGTTTTTGTTAATTATATCCTTATTTATCCTTTATTATGTTATTTATGTGTACGTAAAAGTAAACTCTCAAATACAGTGACGTTCCTCAATAGCGAATAGTGTCAAAATTTCATTAATTTTCAAAATTCGTAACCTATCAAATTTGATTAAAGAAAATTTTCATTTACCGGAAAACACACCCACACACACACACACCCATACAATATTCGTAGAAAATAGAATAATCAAAATGTCATTTTCGAAAGCGAAACTTAAACGTTTTAACGACATTGATGTTGTAGCTTGCGCCTCACCCTCGCGTCATGCTGCTTGCCTCGAGAGTAATAGCTCTACAACTGGCGGAATTTCTTCATCATGTGTCGCCCATACAGAACGTAAAGAACAAATTGAAAAGTTCTTCAAAGATGCAGTTCGTTTCACATCCAGTTCGAAAGAGAACAAAGAGTTTGCTGTACCTAAAGATGGTCCTCTAAAAGAGGATAAAAAATCGAAAGGTTTGCGTTTATTTCGCACGCCATCTTTACCACATCGTTTACGGTTTCGTCAAAACTCTGATATAACTTCGGCTGTCGGCACCACATCAACGGCCAGTTCGACACCATTACCTTCGGCCACTACAACGCCTAGCAAAGAATCGTCGAAAACTGCTGGCCGTTTGAAGGGCAAGGAGGCTTTGCATCAAGAAATTCGACACAAGAACGATCTTATTGAGAATTATTTAAGTCAAATCGATGTCTTGAAACGTCACGTAGAACAGCTGAAAGAAGCGGAAATCAAAATCCGTGAAGAACATGTCCATGTCGAGCAAAAAACCGAAAGAATGATAAACGAGTTATCTGATGAAAATAAATCGCATAAAGAATTCAATGATCGTCTTGTTGCCGAAAATGCTCGCTACGCTGAAAATATTTTGAAATTGGAAAATGAAATCAAAAAACTTAATCGTGAACATGTAAGCCAAGTGGAAGAATTGAAGAGTTTATCGGAAGAGTTGAAAGATAAAAATTATCAGCTCGAATCTGACTACGCAAAACAGAGCGAACAAAGTGAAAAATATGTTTTAAAAATTTCAAAACTAAATCAAGAGATTAAAGAAGCTTGCGAACAGTTATCGCTTAGTGAAGAAAGGGCTCAAGAAAGCTTCGAACTTATTGAAAATCTCAAAAATACTAATGATACTTTGATCGGCGATATGAAAACCTTGCAACGGCAGATCGAACAGGACGCCCTGGCTTACGCTCAGGAGACTAAGATCATACAAAACGAAATGGAATGTTTAAGAAACGAAAGAAATACATTGAAAAACGATCTAGCAAGTAAATGCGATTTCATTAAGTCATTGCAGGATGAGTTATTGGATAAGAATTGCGAAATAGATGCCCATTGTGATACCATAAGACAATTATGCCGCGAGAAGGCCAAGTTTGTGGAGAGAGAACGCCTTCTAGATTCAGTTGAAGAAAAAGTTCGCCAGGCTGAAGTTCAAGTCGAGCAAAAAGTACAAAAACTCGAATCGGATTTGGAGAATGCTTTGGAGCGTGAAAAGGCTTATTGGCGAGCGGAATTGGATAAACGTCAAAAGATGGCTGAAAATGAATTGATAAAAATTGAACTTGAAAAGCAGGATGTTATGGTATTGTTAGAAAGTACCAACGATATGTTACGTGAACGTGATGAGAAAATACAAAAGTATGAAGATCAATTACGCAACGGCATTGATTACTATGTACAATTGACGGACAATCTACAAAAGCAAGTTGTGGACCTTAAGCAGGATATGGCCAAGACAATTACTGAAAAGTACAATTATCAATTGACTTTAAACAATACACGTTCCACGGTGAATATATTAATGGAACGTCTTAAGAAATCGGATTCGGATGTTGAACAATTGAAAGCAGAATTGGAATCCGTACAATTGGCGAAAAGAACCTTGGAACAGAGCTATTTGCAATTGCAATCAGATCTGGAGAGAATCCGCACTCAACTGTCCGAATCGGAGGAGGCTTTGAATAGCTTGCGCGACTCATCGGAAACACTACAAAAAGAGGTATCACTTAAAGAATGCATGTTCAATGAAATACTTACTTCCGAAGAGGAAACTTTGGTTAAATTCAATAAGATTGCTTCTTCATTCCAGGAGCGCATCGAAGCGGATGCGGCCAAATACCTGGAGATGTATAACGAATTGAGGAGCAAAGATGAAACGCGCGAAATGTATATGCAAGATATGAAAAAGGCTTTGGATGAATTTGCTACTGTCTTACAGTTTGCCCAAATTGAATTGGACAGCAAAGAGAATGTATTGACAAAAGTACGTGAAGAATGCGAACAATTGAAATTGGAAAATATCGCCTTGAAATCGAAGGTGGACGATACAACTGTTGCTGCCGCAACAGCGACAAATAGTCCAGGCAAAAAGAAAGAGAATAGTACGGATTTGGAGAAAATTGAAGGACTATTAAATGACTCTGAATTTCGTGCAGAATGCGATAAAATTACCTCGTGGTTGCTTAACTCTTCGGCCGACAAATGCGTACGCAATGAGAGTTCAAACGAGATAAATGAAATGTTAAAACCGACCACACCCAATAATAAGTCCACACCGCCAGTACGTTCTCATTCGGCCGGTAAGTCCACTAGCCAGATAAATACGCCAAGGACCCCGCGCACACCAAGGACGCCCAAATCTGCTGCTGCAAATACACCACGCACAACTCCTAAAAAAACTGTGCTATTTGTTGGGAAAGAGAATATACCGAGTCCACAGAAACAAGTGCTTAAAGCGCGAAATGTCTAAATTCCTAGCCAAGTACAAAACATAAAAAAAGCATACGAAACGAAAACTCTAAAGCAAACGGACTATGGAAAACTGTTTGAGGAAATGAGGAGACTTGGCGTTGTCGTTACTCCATGTGCAGAAAATGGCGAATGAATCGAAAAACCTGTAATTCCCCCTTCTAAAGAATGAAATGAATTTATATTTACATAATTTATGTACGTAACATATATATATATATATACGCACGCAAAACATATAGAAAATCACGAAATACAAGAATACCTATCGACTATAATTGATGTTTTTATTATTATTATTAAATCAAAGGGGGTAAAACTATGTGAGAAAAGTTCATTCTCATACACAATTGCCAACCACCACCACCACCATCCATCCATTAAGCGTATATAGGAATTTATTTACACAGATTTATGCATAAGTTTAGAAGAAAAACAAACGCAATAAGTTTTTTGTTAAGTGAAGTAGACAAAGCGATACGGGTTTCGGAGGAAATTGAATTCTTTAGTTCATTACACATTGTTAGCTAAAAGCCATTTTAAGATTTGCTGATTACATATATATATATACGCGAGCAAGGCAAGCATTTCTTTCCTCCGTTTATTACGAGATCATCGCATTCAAGTGGTTGTTTATGAGATTTAAATGCCAAAGTTTCATAAGTAATCGAAAATTTTATGCATTTATGATGTTATTCGATGCTTTTTACATATCCTGTATGTTGTTTTTTACTTCTATTGGTACTTTCCCGAGACAAAAATCGCAGCAGCTTTAAAGGGAAACAAAAATGCAAGTTAAGAAATGAATGAAAAAAAAACTATAGGCTCTTTTAAACAACTAAATTTCCTTGTCTTATCCCCACATGACAATTACTTCTGTTTTGTAATCTTAAGTTCGAAATTAAAAGAAAGCCGAAGCACGTTTCGATAGAAATGCAACTTACTTACGCAATCACAGATCACTCGAAAATTTCTTAGTTAGCTCAGTTCGTCTAATCAGCATTTTTTACATGCTACTCGTCCAAAAGAATCTCTCGTTGATTATGTATAAGGATTATGGGGAAATCGGATGCTTAGTTCTGATCATCTTAAGAAAAATAGTTATCTCGGATATAAACAAATGAAATAAAATAATACAATATTATATAGTAGATGGGCATTCACTCATTCGTGGTTTTTTTGAAGCGGTCATATCCATGAAATTCAACATAGGAATTCCTATAACTCACCTTTTAAAATGCGTTTTGCAACAAGATCTGGTTTGTAATTCATATAACTATCGGTTTTTTTTTTTTTTT